AATATAATATAATAATAAAAAACTATACGGGAACAATTTATTGAAAATAAAAAAAATCACTTGGCCCCGGCCTAGGCAAATCGGGCCTAGCATAGTAGTCAAAGAAGTGCGTTCTGGCTACTAGGTACGAGACACACACACACTATATCTATATATATATATATATATATATATATATATATATATATATATATATATATATATATATATATATATATATATATATATGTCGTACCTAATAGCCAGAACGCACTTCTCAGCCTACTATTCAAGGCCCGATTTGCCTAATAAGCCAAGTTTTCATGAATTAATGTTTTTTCGTCTACCTAACCTACCTAACCTAACCTAACCTAGCTTTTTTTGGCTACCTAACCTAACCTTACCTATAAATATAGGTTAGGTTAGGTTAGGTAGGGTTGGTTAGGTTCGGTCATATATCTACGTTAATTTTAACTCCAATAAAAAAAATTGACCTCATACATAGAGAAAAGGGTTGCTTTATCATTTCATAAGAACAAAATATAGTAAATATATTAATTCAGGAAAACTTGGCTTATTAGGCAAATCGGGCCTTGAATAGTAGGCTGAGAAGTGAGTTCTGGCTACTAGGTACGACATATATATATATATATATATATATATATATATATATATATATATATATATATATATATATATATATATATATATATATATATATATATATATATATATATATATATATATATATATATATATATATATATATATATATATATATATATATATATATATATATATATATATATATATATATGTGTCGTACCTAGTAGCCAGAACGCACTTCTCAGCCTACTATGCAAGGCCAAATTTGCCTAATAAGCCAAGTTTTCCTGAATTAATATATTTTCTCTAATTTTTTTCTTATGAAATGATAAAGCTACCCATTTCATTATGTACGAGGTCAATTTTTTTTTATTGGAGTTAAAATTAATGTAGATATATGACCGAACCTAACCAACCATTATTCATTAGCACTTATAATACTGTACTCTATCGACACTTTACACTAATTTATGTGCATTTCAATCATATTTTATATCATTGTTAGTGGATACTGCATGACATGTCGATGGGAATTCAGCATCGGCGGGTGCATCATGGCTTGTAGGGCATTTGTTACTGGCAGATGCTTTACAATTTGTTGATGGGAATTCAACATCAGTAGATGCAGCATGGCATGTGGCTAGATGTACCACATTGCCAGCTGATGCTGCACAACTTGTTGAATTCCAGTGGGTGCAGCATGGCTTGTAGACAAAGATTTTTCACAGACCCTCAAAATCGTGAATTTATCGTTTTGTGTCTGAATCTGATTATCTTTGTCTAACGTTCTGAAACAGTAATGTCCTTCAAAATTAAAGCTAGCCATGCAAGTCCACAGTAAGCAACGAGGACACATGGACCGACACAATACATTCATGTCTGTGGGGAAAAAATACCTAGTGCCTATAATATACAAGGTATTTAATAAGAAAAAGAATTTTACTTAATAACAATTGTTTCCAAATACTGTATTTTATTAATAATAATTTATAATTTGCTTCATTAAACTGTATCATTTTAAAAAGAGGTTAAGATTTAATTTACGGCTCGATCAAGGGCGGTGGTGGTGTTCCATGTGAGGGCGCGCTGATGCCAAAACATACCCAATACCGACCTACGGTTTTATCGACCACCAGACCGGTATTTGAGGCTCCAGATACCGGTCTCCAAAACCGGTCATTGGAGCCGGCAGAACAATAAATAAGAGGCCGTTAGAGTGGAAACTGTACTGGCACCCATCACATCCACCACCACCATGGGTGCCAACACAACTTCATTTTCTTGCAATATAACTCTGTTGACCAGGTGAAGCTCTTCTGCGTTGTATAGTAGGGTGACCATGGAAAGTTGAGGTGGAGGCCACACTATTGTCAGTGTCCTCATGGCTGGGGACATGCAGATGCTTGGTAGGGCATGCTGCCTAGACAGCAAATCTTCACTTAGTCACAACCTCATAATAGCCACTAACTCTCGATTCATGTATGCTACTTGTATCAGAAACAGCATCACAATCCAGAAAATGTCTTCTCATATATTATCATGTTGTTCAGGAATGGCAGATGGTACATGTAATAATATTGGCAAGGGTACAGGGGCCTGATAGCCGAGTTGACAGTGTTTGGGATTCGTAGTCCCGAGGTTCTGGGTTCGATCTCCGGTGGAGGTAGAAACAAATGGGCAGAGTTTCTTTCACCCTGATGCCCATGTTCACCTAACATTAAATAGGTACCTGGGAGTTAGCCAGCTGCTACGGGCTGCTTCCTGGGGGTGCGTAACAAAAAGGAGGCCTGGTCGAGGACAGGGCCGCAGGGATACTAAGCCCCGAAATCACCAAGATAACCTCAAGATAAGGGGGTGCTGACTTTGAACAGCGTGTCAGGGCTGTCAAGAGCCATGTTCTTTGCACACTCCCTGTATCATTGTCATCTGTGTTAGTATCACTTATCTGATAGTACTTGTGTAAGGTCTTTATCTGGCTTTGGGTCATCAACATCACTATCACACTCTTCTTGAAACAATGTGTCCTGAATTTCATCATCAGATGGAGTTTTTCAACTATGTCCCATGGGAGAATTGGTCCTCTAAGTGTGTGCATCTGTCATGGTTGCTCACTCAAAACTGAGCCCACCCGCAGCTGAGGGGCATGCTGGGAATTTTTTATAAAATGGGTCGACGCTCACTTGAGGCCTCAGGCCTCCATCAGGTACCCAACCTACTGCGTGCGAGTTTTGAATCTTAAAATATACTTGCATTCACGATATGTAGGGTGGTGCACCACTATTGTTCAATGATATCACAGGTGGTGCAGGACAGTGGTTAAAATAGTAAAATTATCTCCTGTTAGATAATCTTTGTACTTAAAGTGTACAATGTTCAAAGTTCATTGTTGCTGTACTGAAAAAATTAAGGAATTCATTGACCGACATTCATTTCAATAAAGTATATAAATATGAATGCCTTAACCCTTAAACCGTGCAAATCTTATATACATGCTTTCCGTGGCAAAACCGAAACCGCGCATGTCATATATGATTTCGTGTCTAGCACTATAATTTAAACTTTTCGCCTGGGATAGGGGCAGCTATAGTGCAGCCAAGACCAATAGTTGCCAGATGCCACCTAGAAAAAAAATAGGCCAACATTCTTGAGTGTGAGATGGTCAGTATTGAGCAAGTCCCCAAGGCTGGTGCACGCAGCACGAGCTCACAGCACCGCTATTCAGCTTTTGACCACAGCATCGCCTACAAATGCCATAATATATATGATCATGCTATTAGTTAGCAATGATAGTATTATAGAAGACCCCCTGACTGTGATAAAACCAACCAGGATTCTGATAATAGCAGGACTGTGGTGATATTTAGCGCTGTGCTCCATGGAGGGAGGGTGGTGACGTCGTCTTCTGACTGTGTGGCCACCTTTTATTGACTGCACTCACCATACCAGCTTAGTGGTTCGCTATGGTGAACACAAATGTAGATACTTGTATATAACATGTGTATAGTGTGAGATAACAGCAATAGGAGTAGGTTGGGAGCCACCATTTTGGTGAGGGAGGTGCTTCGTCTGCATGACTTATGTTGTTTACTGGTGGCCACTATGGTCTTTGGGCACCATACCTGCTTATTTGAACAGGTATGGTGAATAAAACAGGTAGATACTTATATATAATGTGTGTATATAGCATAATAACACCACAAACAATATTGTTGGAAGAAAAATATTAGTGCGTCTGGCCTTGAGGGCAGCCGCCACCAGCTGACTGTGTGAGTACCTACGTCTTTGTGTCTTTACTCACCATACAAGCTTAGATGTACAGTTATGGTGAACAAAACATGTAAATACTTATATATAACATCTGTGTATAGTGAATAAATGCACAAACAGTATTGTGGGCGGAGAATGAGGGCGAGTGAGGTGCTGTTGAGGGAGGGAGTGGCAGCAAGTGGCTGGCTGGTGTGTGGCGGTCACTCCTCGCTGCTTTTTGACTCGCAATACCAACTTACTGGTTCGTTATGGTGAACAAAACATGCAAATACTTATATATAACCTGTGTATATAGTGTAACAACAGCAAAACTATTTGTTTATTGTTTTATGAACATAATTGAATCACTAATATGCACACCATAATTTTGAGTACAGCGATGGTTCACACATTTTATTATATAAATATATCACAATTCACTGTATTGAATAATATTACTGCAAAAAACTAAGAAAAAATTAATCAGACACATTGAAATAATTAGGTAATAATATATTTGTGGCAACTGCCACCTGACAGCTCGAGCGGAGTAGACCTCGTCTGGCGAAGGCTCTGTCAACGCCCCTTTTTTGCCACACTTCCTTACCCTATTGCGGCTAAAATATGCCACCTACGATTTTTTTTGTTATTTTTTCCATGATCAGGGAACAAAAATTAACACTTCTATAAAGACGAAAGAATTTTTTTTTTTTTTTTTTTTTTTTTGCGTGCACCTGTGGGTGTTAAATCCATTTGGGCCCCTAGCTGTTTGAGGGTTAAGGGTTTGGAAACAAAAATATTGACCAAAAATAACAAAAAAAATATTGAAAAAATTAATTTATTTCATTGTTATAACATTTAGTTCTAAAGTTAAATATATGAATTCTACCTTTGTTGGCTAAATTACTAATTGTTTGTAACATTTATATTTTTGCTTTTCCTGTCAGGCAATATAAAAGATATTTTATAGTTTATTTTTTTTGTTTTTTTGTGTATGCCTTCTGTTTGTACAGTATGTATTTTGTCTGGTATATGTTGCACATGAACTCTCTACTGTATATAAAGTGAACTCTATAAAAATATTTGGGGTAAATGTTTAACAAAAGCTGACATTGTTTTACTTTAGGTGAATATGTGGTGTGTTAATGTAGTGTTCTTCTCTCCTGCAGCTCATCCCATCACCAGAAGAATTACACGTGGGGTCACGCCTACCTCTGTCAGCACTGGCCGTGTTTAAAAGTACAGTACACATTTCAGTGACATTACAAGTTGCGTGCCATTATCATAAGACGCGGTTCAAAATTCTGGGCACTTTATGTGGATGCACAGTCTCCTTGTATTTCCAGAAATTTACCTGCATCATTATCACATATTGCAGTGAAGCTTTGATAATTTGTATGATGTGCTGCACCAATTATCAATATCTACCACACTAATTTCACCTGGTCTTGATGGTAATGTGTATTTTAAATACTGTACAAATTTTGTTTTCACCATATTTATTTGAAGACGTTAGAACTGTTAATATACTATACTTCTTGTGTATAATGGACCAAAGCTCCCAAATTCAAGTAGAGAAATGAAAACAAATGTTTTCCCAGCTCAGGTAATTATTTCTTCTTTCTGTTCTTCCACTTACAATTCCACACTCGCAGTGTTATTTATGATTGATTGCATTTTCTTCATAAAATATTGCTGATTACTGGTTATATTGAAGCATGTCTGATACTTCGCTGCTCTAGTTTTGAATGAACTTCCTCATTTGTTTAGCTGGTTGCTCTAATAATTTACATTTGGTAACATTTGACAAAAATTGGAATATTGTACCACTGACTACATGCAGTGTTCTGATTAGGTGAAAGCTGAATATTAGTATGTTGTGCAATAGATCATTTCAGATAATTAATTACAACTTTGAAATTTGTGTCTTCACTGATAGATAGTGTGAACCTGCATGACATTTGTTTGTACATGACCAAAACACACAGCATGTATGTACAGTTCCAACACAAAAAAAAGTAAGTTTACAGAAATAATAAATTGTGTAAGATACAAACCTTGTGACATTATTTATATATTAGGCATAAGAGTTTTCATGTAGTCCACAGTTAATAAGTGTGGCAGATGACAACCACTTAAGAGTTTGTATCGTAAACTATTAATATACTGTACCTTTATCTTGGTACAGTATCACACACGAGGCTATACTCTAGAAAATTCTGTCAGTGCTCGGTGTTGTAAGGTCATATTAGAGAAAGCTTTGCTACTGAAGTACAGTACATGCACATCATATATTCATAATTACACAAAAGAGGAATAATATCATGAAGTGATAAGAACCTTCTTTATAAATATATTCTGATTTATTTGAGCTAAAAGATCATCTGCTCTTGAAGTAAACAGGGATTTTCATAAAAGTAAGCCTTAGCAATAGGTAAATTAGTTAAAGTGTAAAAGTATTTAAATGTAACCTTTGCATTGCACAATAACAGCTGGACATACCCATATGCACAAATCTGAAAATAAAATAAATTAAATTTCTTTAGTGCAAATAAGAGATAAAAATATGAAAAACAATAATTATTTAAATATTTCCATATTCTAGCTTTTGGTTATATGTAATTTTAGTTTACTGTATTTAAATTGATATCATCGTAAGATTCTAAAATTTGAAGAAAGAGGTTTCCTTTATTTTAATGTTTTCTTTTATGGCGTGTTTAGAAAATGTAAATAAAATATGGATGACTGAACAAAAAGGCCAAAGTGGTCTTTCCAATATTTTTTGCAAATATCCTTGGTACAAAGATGCCTCACTGTCCAAATTCTCTTAATGACTTTTTATTTGTAATAACCTAGGTTTAACTCTTTATTATGTAATAACAGTCAGAGCTGCCATATATTTGTAATTACTGTATAGTGATTCATAACAAAGCTAAATTCTCTTGTCTTTCTATAGTGATATGTTATATGACATAAGCTGCAGTTTAATTGTGTGGGCTTTATACATATGACATTAAGCCACACTAAGGGTCATCTACATAAAAGAAATAGAATATCCTTATCTTTGATAAGATTTGCAAGTACAGTACTTTTTGAACATGAAGCATATAATTTTTTGGTAATATTTAGTTTTAAGTAATTATTGTAAAGATCAGTACTAAGATGGTATAAAGCTTTCAAAGTTAATCCAGTAGATTGGAGCTCCTATAGAGGAAAGAATACCAAGTTCTCTCTGTTTCTAAAACACTTGAATTCAATATAAGGAATTCCTAGAGTTCATGCTAAATAAAAATTGTGTGGTGTTCGGTGTATAGTAATTTAATTTGTATTGCAGTCAATTTCAGTGAGACAATGAGTGCTCAAGAAGAAAAACCAAATCAGTGTAAAGTGTGTCTGAAAAGCTTCAAATATAAATCAGCTCTAGTATGTCATATTAGAGTTCACACAGGTGAGAAACCATATCAATGTTCAGAATGTCCACAAGCATTTTCACAACAATCAATACTAATTAGACATATGAGAATTCATACAGGAGAGAAGCCATATCAGTGTACAGTATGCTTGAAGGACTTCAAATATAAGTCAGTTTTAGTAGGTCATATGAGTATTCATACTGGAGAGAAACCATATCAATGTTCAAAATGTCCAAAATCTTTTTCACAAAAATTAATTCTTGAAAGTCATATGACAGTTCATACAGGAGAGAAACTGTATCAGTGTTCACATTGCCCAAAAACATTTTTCTATAAATCAACTTTATCTACACACATGAAAATTCACACAGTATTGAAGTCATATTCTTGTTCAGAGTGTAATGAAGTCTTTTCACAAAAATCAACTCTAGATAAACATGCAGAAATTCATAAAGGAGAAAAGCCTTATCAGTGTTCAGTGTGCCGAAAAGCCTTTTCACAACAAATAGTTTTGGAAAGTCACATGAGAGTTCATACAGGAGAAAAACCCTATCAGTGTTCAGAGTGCCAAAAGGTATTTTCACAAAAATCTGCTCTACTTACACACTTGAAAACTCATGCGGGACATAATCCGTTTAAGTGCTTAGAGTGTCCAAAAGTTTTTTCAGATAAATCTGGTCTAGTCACGCACATGAGAATTCACACCGGAGAGAGACCATATGAGTGCTCAGAGTGTCTAAAAACATTTACACAAAGATCAAATCTAGCAAGTCATATGAGGGTCCATACAGGAGAGAAGCCATATCAATGTTCAGAGTGTCCAAAAGTCTTTTCACATAAATCGGCTCTAATTACACACATGAGAATTCATACAGGAGAGAAACCTTATAAGTGTACAGAATGTCTGAAAGCTTTTTTACAAAGGCAGCATCTACAAAGTCATATGCGAGTTCACACAGGAGAGAAACCATATCAGTGTTCAGAGTGTCTACAAGTTTTTTCTCAAAAATCGGCTCTAGTTCAGCACATAAGAGTTCATACAAAAGAGAAGCCATATCAATGTTCAGAGTGTCTAAAAGACTTCAAAGATAAGTCAGGAATAATACGTCACATGAGAGTTCATACAGGAGAGAAGCCATATAAATGTTTAGAATGTTTGAAAGACTTTTCACGAAAATCAGCACTTTCTAAACACAAAAGAATTCATAAAGAGGGAAGCCACAGAAGTTGTCAAAGTTTGAGAGATTTCAAAGACAGATCTGCCTTCTCAAGGTCAGATCCAGGACAGTACTCATTAGTTAGCCCATTCTTGGGTCTAGTCAGTATTGCAGACTTAGTGACATAGATGTATTTCCCTTACTTAGCTGAATATTTGAAAACAGGTTGTGTTAATCAAGCATGGTGGAATATAGTTACAGAGTACTCCATTAGCCAGCTTAAACTAGTTTAGCTACTAATACTGGCAAAGTTATTGAGCAATTAGACTAATGCTTCACTTAAACTCCTCACTTCCAGGATCTTGGAGCAACTCTTGATCTGCCTTTGCATATTTGAATATTACCTCTCAGTACTGGTACTGTTAAATGGTACATTTTCTTGAATGTGTCAAAATTTTTCAAATGAATTACCAAACAGAAAGGTATCTGACTTTAGGTAGACGATATTACAGTAACGGCTGAAGATATGATGACCAAACGACACAGAAAATGAAGAAACGATGACATTTCAGTCCGTCCTGGACTATTATCAAGTCATTGCTTAGTTATTGATTAAACAGCTTCACGTGTGTACATTTTCTGGGCTTGCATCCCTCAGTAGCTTCCCTCAATGTACATCACTGGGTTGTGTAGGACCACTTTGACCATTCCAGGCTTTAGGGACAATCTCGACTTAATAATGGTCCAGAACGGACCGAAACTTCATTGTAAAATATAAATTGCAAGTCTCCAAATTCTGGACATCGGAAGGTGTTCTTCATATATTGTGCACACATTGTAATCATTCCTAATCAGTTCTTCATATATTGTGCACACATTGTAATCATCCCAAATCAGTTCTTCATATATTGTGCACACATTGTAATCATTCCTAATTAGTTCTTCATGTAGTCTGGAATAATACTAATCAGGTGTTTGTACAGTACAGTAATTGTTTCCTCCTATTTTAGCCTCATTATTGATACAATATTACCTTACAAAGTTCTTCATACTGAGTAAGTTATGAATATAGATGCTTGCGTACTATTCATATCATAATATTTTTTGTTTGATGTAAACTTGTCAAGAAATTATGATAATGAAAGGTTGTCAATAAATCTTGAAACAAACACTTATCTATACCAATTAATCCTTTTACAAAATACTCCATCACATTACTGAATTAAGTCTTTTCTGCCTGTACCCCCTCCATTGTGTCTCCTTGTAGTGGTGAGGGGGCTCACGTACCCCTTTGGGACCAGTGAAGGGGGTTGCCTTCACCCCCTTTCCTGCCCCCGTTTGGGAGTTGTACATACAAATGGGCATAAATGTAGGGGCCTTGTGAGTCAATGTGTCGCCCGTGAGGGGCTGCCGTAATTGGATAGTTGGGTATTTACAGTCTGGGTCGAAAGGCAGAATGGGGTCTTTGCACCTGTGTGGGAGAATAGATGAAGCAGCAGGACTCCCCTGTTAAAAAGTGGGAGCACTGCTGGGGACAATGCACCCCTTCCTACACTGACCTACACTCAGCCTCCCTGGTAGGTAGTATCCCTTGGTTTCAGACTCCAGAATTTTAGAATTGATATATGGAATCTGAACTGACCTCTCTTACCTAGGCTCATGGGGTGGGTGACCAGGCCCCCGAGTCAGACTGTGATAGAAGACCAGGAAGACCCAATGTAGCCCTGCTACACTGGGCCCAAACCAAGCTACTCCTTTGACCCTCCTGATTACTTTCCTCCCTCCCTCCCTCTGTGGTAGAATCGAGTCCCAAGCCTTCAGTGGTGACCACCTCGTCCCCAGGAGTGACTCTCTCATTGAGACTACTGCAACTTTTACCCTCCCCTGTCATTGGGGGTTCTCAGCACCCCCCCCCCCCTCCCTTTGGAGACCCTTGTTAGGGTCTTCAAAAATGCCTGGGTAAAGGCCAGTAATTGGCACTGTTATCCTCTCGCACCATGTTGCGACTGGTGTTAGGGACCTGAAAGACTGCCACGAGGATATTAAACATATCCTTGAAGCCCAATGCCATTCTGTCCTCCAGGTTGATACGTTCACTCAACCCCCCCTTTCATGGTCGTCGTCATCAGCCTCTTCGAGTTGTGAAGATCATATTTGATAGCAGGGACCCTTCCACCACCTATAATTCTTGCTGGTGCCAAATGCTCCTTCAGGAGTACATTCCCTCTCCTAGACTTTGCAATAAGTGCTGGAAATTTGGGCATGGGGCCCTCAAATGCACACATGCAGGGTGTCTATGCCCCATGTGTGGGGACTTGGGGTCACTAAGATGGAGCGCTCTTCCCAGGCTCACTGCCTCAATTGCTCTGACGCCCACCTGACTTTCTCCCGCGTGTGTATATACTACACATTTGAGGAGGCCATCCTCATGAACAAATCTACAAGGGCCGTGACGAGGATTCGAACTTACATCCGAGAGCATCCCAGACGCTGCCTTAATCGACTGAGCTACGACATGGTAAAAGAATTGCAACTGGGAAGTCATCCTGATTTACCAACGGTTCCTGCAGTCTCTCCGAGACAAACCAGGGTTTTACACAATTCTCCCCATGTACCCGAGCTATGTCAATGGGCTGTTCTACCTCTTCGCCCTTACTTCATTACACACAGAAATCACAATAGCGTGATGCATCAAATGAACGAATCAACAAGGACCGTGACGAGGACTCGAACCTACATCCGAGAGCATCCCAGACACTGCCTTAATCGATGGAGCTATTACATTCATTTAATGCATCACGCTATTGTGATTAATATGTGTAAAGCCATCCTCAATTTGAAGCACAGTGATCGTTTGTCTTTTCCTGAGGCGAGACACCATGTCTGCCATTCCACCTCTCCTCGCCCTTCCCTCCTTATGCAATCGACTCGAGAATGGTCCAGGACGGATTGAAACGTCGTCGTCCCTTCACCTTCTAGTGTGTGGTCTGGTCAACTTCCCTCCTTAGTCTCATAACCGTTTACAGGCCTTAGACCTTGACCTTTACATTCTGAACCAAAGGGTCCGCCTCCTGGTTCTCCATCTTTTGTTTCTCCTGCTTCCTTCCCAATCTGCCATGTCTCCTGTGTCGTCTTTCCCGTCTCCCCCTGATCCTTATTCCCAGCCCTCCCCCCAATCATTATTGGCTGTTTCTTATCTCCAGTAGATTTCTTTAAATGAACGTGCGGACGTTGTTCCTAAGGAAGCTATCCGCACTTGCTGATAGCCTTCCCATGAAGGTATTCCTTATTCCGACTTTTACCCAGTTATTCATTCCTCCATCCATGCCCATTGGTAAGGTTGTTGGTCTTCTGTTATTGGTAACAAACTGCGTGCTCTTAAGATTAGTGTGTCCCCACGGCCTTCCTCCTGCAGTACCACTGTATCCGGCGGTGGGAAACAACTGTAGCAGTTTGCGTACCAACCATACACGCTTAACTCACGGACACTTAATGGAACGCCGCCCTGCTCCTTATTGTCCAAACTGCATTGCCCCACTTAGTCGTGCATATCCTTGTTGAATGTCCTGACTTCCAGGACGAACATCGAACGTATGCCTCGCTTCCCGACTGTCTTCACTGTCATTTGTCCCTTGATGGAATTCTTGGCGAATCATAATTGAATGTTCGCCTTATGCGTTTGTTTTCGTATTGGCATCCTTTGTGATATTTAGCGCCCTATGATTGTCCCGCACATTTAATGGTGCTACATAGCCTTCCCGGCTTGGGGCCTTCTTTTGATAATTACATTACATTACTGTATCTAGCCAACGGCCTGGACCCCATCATCGCCCCGGATACAAGTCTCACTGCCTCCACTACCACTCCAGAGACTACCACCAAGACCACAAGGTCAATCTCACAGACTCCAGAACCACCCAAGACCTGGGCGTCACAAACAGAGGTATTTCCACACCATCTCGGCAAACGTACTGTCTACAAACACTAACAGCACCACCAACACTTCTGAAATAGCTTCTACCACTAATCCACGACACCTGAGCCTACCTCAGGCTGCGAGACGAAAGACAAAACTACCCACTACGGATTCCTCAGACGAGGATATCCTAGTAGGAGCTCCACCGCCGCAGGACAAATACGACACCTACTTGGTACAAGACCACCTCACCAAACTCCAATAACACAGCTCAGTCAAAGTCTCAGCCATAGAAAAAACGGAAGACCTAAAGGTCTACACTAATTAACCCACCAGCTCCATAACTGCTACTGCTAGCCCTCCGAGGCTGAAATCCATCATGAAGACTCCCATCCATCCACAGATCTCTAGTATCAGCTGTTGTACTGGTAATGGCTCGAAAAAAGCCTCCACTTACGGCCTATTCATGCCCTTGCCACCTTTAGCGTGGTTTAATCTTTAGAAATCATCATCTGCAGTCCTGCTCTTTAATAGTGTAGCGAGTAAACATTATACTCGCTCCAGTCTCATTATCTTAATGGCATAACTAATTACAGAAGCTACAATCCCTTTCCCAATTACAGGTAATACTCTTTTCATCCTGTTGGGGGCAACTGAGGTGTAGTCACCAAATATAAGCAAACTTGAAGTGAACACACACAACGGGAGACATCTCCCGTCACGCAGGGTGCAGTTACACCTCCACAGATCTCTAGTATCAGCTCTTGATACTGGTAATGGCTCCAAAGGGCCACCACTTACGGGCTATTCATGCCCGTGCCACCTTTTGGGTGGCTTAATCTTCATCAATCAATCGAACATACACACCGCTCCTGTGCCAGGTAAGTCCACTATGGGCTCACCATAGCCCGTGCTACTTGCCCCGCTCCTGTGCCAGGTAAGTTACGGGCTCATCATAGCTCGTGCTACTTGGAACTTGTTTGAGTAGCTGAATCTATAACAACAACAACAACATGAATAGACAACAGTACAATTTCCTGCGATTCGAATAACTCCAGTACAGACGCTTTGGATTTACCTCGCCTCTTCAACAGCAAGAATGTAGTACTCTGCGTGTACAGTTCTAATCGACCCCAAGACTACAAGCTTCGACATAAAGCAGACAGCAGACTACGACCCCATCAAGCTACAATGCTCTCGCTCCCATGAGGTCAGACACTCACGATTCCCCAATCGAGCCGCCACGCTCTCCCGCATAGAGCTCCGTGACTCCGGCCTCACTCATCTCTCTGCTCTGCTCTGCTCTAAGCTCCGTCTGAACGTGTATGACAATGCCAACAACCGACTACTGTAATCAAGACTACTAAGGGTGTAACCTCCCACGGTGCAGGAAAGTGCCGTGCTTTTTTTTTTTTTTTTTTTTTTGTACCAAGAGAAACAACAACGGCACTTTCCTGCACCGTGGGAGGTTACACCCTTTCCAGTTTTAATCCCTCCCTTTCCACCCAAGAAGCAAATTAGAGATCAGCCCAAGCTTCGTCTTGAGGCAAAGCTCAACGCCTTAAGCCATATTGATGCTCTGTCCACAGAGCATTCTCTCTCTCAAATCATATACACTGATGGTTCCCTACACCGCACCACGGGTGCAGCTGGAAATGCAGTTGTTCTGACAATGGGCGATGGCTTGTACTTTGAGTGGGGAGTCCGTATAAACAATTGGGCCTCTACCCTTCAGACCGAACTATTTGCCTTGATCCTTGCACTGAAATGTGTACAAGTCTCCAAACTTGATACATTAATTGTAAGTGACTCCTTATCATCCTTAAATGCTCTCAACTCTTTAAGACATAACTAACATGCTCGTGTCCGAAGCTAGACACAAATACAACAAAATTATTAAGGATGGTAACTGTTAGGACCCTGGGTTCCTCAGTGGAAACCAGAGGTCAATATTGAGCTAAATAGACTGCCTTATAGTAGAGCTAAATAGACTGCCTTATAGTAGAGCTAAATAGACTGCCTTATAGTAGAGCTAAATAGACTGCCTTATAGTAGAGCTAAATAGACTGCCTTATTGTTTATTCTGAGATTTATTTGATTAGAGGATTTATTGCCAAACAGAATATAGAAGGTTTTGTCAATGTTAAGGGTGAGTTTGTTGGCAGTTAGCCAAAGATGGACTTTATTTAGCTATAAATACTTGGCTCTAAGCATACTTTTAATTGTTACCACTGGTTATTCCCCATTATAAATTTACTGTAACTGTACTGACTGTACCTATTCAACTATGTTATACCATTTGTTATATACTTTTACTTATAGCCATTAAGCATATTTTGTTACTGCAGAATTTTACATCTTTTATAATCTACTATTTTAATAAATAAGTCCCCCCATATTGGCTTGCGTTTTTTCTCCCTGAACAGAAAATGCGTTACAAATCAAGGGACCTAGAATAAATAAATAAATAAATATGTTTATTCAGGTAAGGTACATACATACAAGTGATGTTACATTAATGGATTGATATATAGATAGAGCTAGTACATACAATGCCTAAAGCCACTATTACGCAATGCGTTTCGGGCAACGAATGTGGAATGACCTTCCCAATCATGTCAAAGACTGTACCTCTCCCAACCAATTTAAAAGATAAATAAATAAATAGGTTTTATTTATTTATTTATATATATACAAGAAGGTACATTAGGTTTGTGAGGATACATAATATGGTAATTACAATCTTGTAAAGCCACTAGTACGCGCAGCGTTTCGGGACGGTCCTTAATCTAAGAAAATTTGAAGTAGGTAAATACTTGCAAAATTTATAAAAAATGATAACAGTTACAAGGCAAGAAAAAAAGATGAGAGAAAATTGTAGGTATATTAAAGCACAAAGGTAGCTCAGATTGATTGCAATGACAGCTTGAATGGTAGTTGACAAAATTTGGTAGGCACAATACAGCATATGGCTAGCACATAAAAGACGACAGCAATGAACACAATGCTAAGGTTGTTTGAGATAAGTACATAAAAATTGGGAGATTGGGTAACACTAGATACAGAGAAAATTTAAAGTTCAGTGTAGGAAACTAAGATGAAATAGTCACTGCTTTCACAACAATGCGGGGAAGTTCTGTGAGGAAGAAAATGTATTACCATGATTTGGTGACTAACCGACTAAGTAGCGCGCGCGCGCATCGAGCAGGGTACTTAAAAGCGCGCCCGCGGACTCTGCGACCTCTTGCTCGCCTCCTCCTCGCCAAATACACTACAAAACGCCCACCCTCCTCCCGGGAAACCCTGCTTCCCCGGTTTTACTTTCCAAGGGAAGACGCTAAAGCAATTTGCTGGGGACACTTGTTCCATCTTGCAACTAATTTGTATTACCTTGGGGGTGCTCCGACGGAACCCCCAAAGTGATAAGCCACGAATACCAAGAATTGGAATTACCTTAAATTCAATCATGCAACTTTCAATTAGAGATGTCTCTTCACTGTATCTGATTTAATACAATATCATTATAACGGCTATCCATTAATTTTATTTCTGTATAATTTATGGTTATTCACTAATTATTAGTCACCATAATTAATTCCACTTTAATTATCTATTTATTCGTTATAATGAGTTATTATGCTTCTTCATTTAAGGATAATCAATTATTTAATAATTAATTATGCCTATTATTATTAATTAATTATTTGTATTAAATAATTAATTATTATTATTATTATAAAATAAAATAAGTCCCCCACTCTGTGAGCGTTTTCTTCCAACCGCAGAAATTAGGTACTTTTTGGTTTTGCTTTTAAATAAGGCAAAAGTTTGACAGCTTTTCAATTCACTGGGGAGTGAGTTCCATAGACTAGGTCCCTTAATTTGCATAGTGTATTTACACAGATTTAGTTTGACCCCTGGGAATATCAGAGATATTTATTTCTGGTGTGGTGATAATGGGTCCTATTACATCTGTCCAGGGAGAGTTTCAGAGCATGGTTTGCATTTAAGAACAGGGTTTTGTAAATGTAGTTGACAAGAGAATGTGTGGAGGGAGTTAATATTTAGCAAGTTTAGGGATTTAAACACGGGAGCTGAGTGTTGTCTGAAAGCAGAGTTAGTTATTATTCTGATAGCAGATTTTTGCTGGGTGATGATGGGCTTAAGGTGGTTTGCAGTGGTAGACCCCAATGCACAGATACCATAATTAAGATAGGGGTAGATTAGTGCATAATATTGTGAGAAGAGAGCAGAATTAGGAACATAATATCTTATTTTTAGAGAGTATACCAACTGTCTTAGAGACTTTCTTAGTTATGTGTTGAATGTGGGTGCTGAAGTCGAGTCTTGTCTAGGAATAAGCCAAGAAACTTGCCATCATTTTTATTACTGATGTTAATGTTGTCTATCTGTAGCTGAATTGCATTTGATGATTTGCTTCCAAATAAGATGTAGTAAGTCTTTTCTATGTTTAATGTTGTTAGTTGACATCCATAAGTGGACTTTTTTAAATTCATTATTCACAACATTATTTAGTGTATGTGGGTTGGGGTCTAAATAGATAAGGGTAGTATCGTCAGCAAACAATATAGGTTTAAGAATATTTGAGACATTATATATATATATCAATGAGCTGCCTATAAGAAATAGAAGAGGTCCTAAGATGCTGCCCTGTGGCACTCCAACGGTAATTGGTAGAGTGGAAGAAGTTGTATCATTGATGGTTACACATTGGTGTCTGTCACTAAGATAGGATCGGATGTAGTCAAGGGCAAGGCCTCGGATTCCATAATGCTGGAGGTTTAAGTAAGAGGTAGTGATTAACAGTATCAAAGGCTTTTCTTAGGTCAATGAAGAGTCCAATCAGAAACTCATTTTTGTCAAGGGCTGAGTAGATTACGTCAAGGAGACTAATGATTGCATCATTGGTGCTCTTTTGGGACCGGAAGCCAAACTGGCAGGGGCTGAGTATGTCGAATTTTACGAGGTAGGAATAGAGCTGTTTGTAAATAATATTTTTCAAATATTTTTGAAAGAATGGGTAGATTTGATATTGGTCTATAATTGTTTATGTCCGCCGGATTGCCTCCTTTATGGACTGGCGTTACTCTTGCTTTTTTGAGGATATCGGGGAAGGTGTGGCACTATAGATTTGTTGAACAGTAGAGCTATGCGTGGGGCAAGGGCATGGGAGGCGCTCTTGTATACAATGGACGGAATTTCACTGGTGTTCCCTGCCTTGGTTTTTAGAAACCGAGTCTTACTATTTTTTTTTCCCAAGATATATTCAAGTGTTGTTACATTCTTGTACAGCCACTAGTACGCGTAGCGTTTCGGGCAGGTCCCTGGAATACGATCCCCGCCGAGAAGAATCGTTGTTACAACCAAGTACCCATTTTACTGTTGCGTTAAACAGAGGCTACAGTTAAGGATTGGCGCCCAGGTAAATCCTCCCCGGCCAGGATACGAACCCATGACAAAGCGCTCGCGGAACGCCAGGCGAGCGTCTTACCACTGCACCACGGAAACTAACTTATTTTATTTTTTAAATTTTAACTTTAATTAAAAAAATTAAACAATGCTATTTGTTGACCAAATTGTATATTTGCTATTTTCTTCCATGTTCTCTCCCCCCCCCCCCTTTCTTAATTTTTTTATTTTCAACAATTTATACTTTAATCTCAATTAGTATTAAGTTTTAGTCTAAGTGTCCCCCCCCCCTCACCCTGCCCGTAACGTTATGCGTACTAGTGCCTATAGGTATTGCATGTACTAGCTCTTTCTTTAAATCCAACATTATGTTTGTAATTCATCTGCTATGTATGTACCTTTACCTGAATAAAGAATCTGAACCTGATTCTAATTAAAGGGATACCGGGCGAGTAGAGGCGGGCGCCACGGCTGGAAGAGTGGCGTACACAGCCCAGGGGTTGAGGCCGCGGTTTCAGGGCGGCCGTGAAGTTATCGGCTGGACAAACCCATCAGCAAACGGCACGCATCACAAAGAAGTCATGGTGGCCGGATCTTCGGGAAACACCAAAGGAATAAACACGGACACGTCAGTATAGACATTACACGAGTTTAGCGTGAATCCTGGTGCAGTCATAAGATACTCGTCCGGCGCATCACGAGTGCTTTGGCCTGGGTTTGTATCCCACCCGGGAAGAATTAACCGGACGCCAATCCTTAACTGCAGCCCCTCTGTTCACCCAGCAGTGAATGGGTACCCGGTTGTTATACTATTTTTAGCGGGTTGTATTCCGGGGAAAATCAAGATTAAGGACCTGCCCAAAATGCTATGCGTGCTTGTGGTTTTACAAGAATGTAGTAGCTTATACATAGTGTATATGAATAAATAAATAAGTACAAATAAATCTTGACAACGACAACTGCTGGTAAACTTGTCGAGATTTTAACCATTGAGCCTGAAATTACCCAAGGGCCATTAACACTAGTGGCCTCGAGAAGGACAGGAAGCCGGCAGCATGTCAAAAGTGAGATGATATCATTTTGATATCAGCCCTATCATGCCTGGTTTGCAGTGTTAGCCCTGTGGCCCTCAACCTGTTATTTTTTCCTGGTATAAGAGTTGACTTAGCCCTGAAATGATTTTTGTTACCTGGTGTTGCACTTTCTGCAGAGCAGCTATGTCCTTTTGAAGATGTAGGCTACATGCTTGGATACAGTAATCAAGATGGGGGCTCACCAGAGATTTATATAGCTGAATAACTACGTTCTTTTCCTTAAAGTCAAAGGTTTACTTGATTATTCCTAGGGTTTGGTTAGCTTTTTTACTGCTGCACCCACTTGTTGTGCAACTTTCAATAAATGATGGATTTTTACTCCAAGGTCTTTTTCTTCATCAATCTGCTGCTGCTGTTGTTGAGGGGCGACAACGATCGAGGGATTGGATGTGCTCTCATCAATCAGCTGTAATGTACTGTTAATTTGGTAGCTGTGACATGGGTTGCTATGCTCCACATGCAAGTTCTTGCATCTTTCAATGTTGAAAGCATTTGCCAGTCTTCTGACTATGTGTGGAGTTCATATAGATCTCTTTGTAAGGCTTCAATATCATTATCATTTCTCACTTTACCATAAATCTTTGTGTCGCTACCGTAGAAATAAGAAAATTCACTTCCGCAAACAGTGGTAGACGGTTGGAACAAGTTAGGTGAGAAGGTGGTAGAGGCCAAAACCGTCAGTAATTTCAAAGCATTATATGACAAAGGGTGCTGGGAAGACGGACACCTCGAGCGTAGCTCTCATCCTGTAACTACACATAGGTAATGACACTTAGGTAATTACCCACCAGAGCTGTAACTGCCAAAACTGTGCTGAATTTCAAAATATACCTGGAAAAGATCAAGGTAAATGGGGGGGGAATCTTCGACAAATCTCCGGCTTCCTGTCCTCGTCGAGGCCACTAAGGTTAGTGGCCTTAGTTAAATCAGGTAATGCTAAGAAGCTTTGGGTAATTAGACGGACCTTTTAAATTACTGATGGTTTTGGCCTCCACCACTTTCTCACTTAACTTGTTTCAACTGTCTACCACTGACCTCTTGGTTTTGAAGTTCCAGATCTTGGGAATTCTTTCCTATCAATTTTATCGATTCCCGTTACTGTTTTGTATGTAGTGATCATATCGCCTCTTTATCTTATATCTTCTAGTTTTGACATATTTAATGCCTCTAACCTTTCCTCATAACTCTTGTCCTTCAGTTCTGGGAACCATTCAGTTGCATGTCTTTGCACCTTTTCTAGTTTGTTGATGTGCTTCTTAAGATATGGGCACCATAGAACTGCTGCATATTCCAGCTTTGGTCTAACAAAAGTAGTGAAGTACAGTATTTCTTTAGTATTTCACCATCTGTGCATTTAAAAGCAATTCTGAAGTTAGAATATGTAGCATAGGCTTCTGTCAGGCATAGCATAGGCTTGCATGATGTTCTTTATGTGGTCCTCAGGTGATAGTTTTCTATCTAGAATCACCCCTAGATCTCTTTCTTTAATGATTTCTCACATAATTTATAGGTTGTGTGGTTTCTATGTTCTTCTATTCCATATTCCATAACATGGTATTTATTCACATTAATTTCCCTATTCCAAGTGGTGCTCCATACACTTATTTTGTCCAGGTCTTCTTGAAGAGCATGACAATCATCTAAGCTTCTTATCTTCCCTATTATCTTAGCATCATCAGCAAAATGTTCATATTCAGTAATTCTGTATTCCATCTGGTAGATTGTTTTATGTAGACAATGAACATTACTAGTGCAAGAACTGAACCCTGTGGTGCTCACTCATGACATTTCTCCAGTCTGATATATTACCTCTGTGTGACCTTTCAGAATGAAGCAATCTCAGCAATCTTCAGGGAACTACCTGGCCTCCTCCAAAAATTGGCATTTCATTACATTCAAAGCTGCATTTTTCTTACTAGAAATTATAGAAAAGGGGGTTGAAATTGAGTACCACAGGAAAAGGGGTAACTGACATTCTGGCATGCAAGGTGATATTTTAACAAACCTTCCTCCTAATAGACAGTACGTTTTAATACTAAATGTAGTAAGTACATTCCTGACTGTCGCCTATAGTCACCTATACATTCTTCCTCCCATTTGATGCATCACACCATTGTGATTTCAGTGTGTAATGTAGTATCTCTAGTGTGAAAGGTTCTTGTTGCCCAACCTGTCATTTTTCTTGCAGTTGGGATTGCTGCTTTATTGTGTTCTTTAAATGTAAGGTCTTTCGACATCATTACACCTGAATCCTTTACATTGCCTTTTTGTTCTATGTTATGATTTGACCGAGTTTTGAACTCTGTTTCTGTTTTTATATTTTAATTTTTTCCGTAGCGTATGAGCTGAAACTTATCTTCGTTAAACACCATATTATTTTCTGTAGCCCATAGAAAGACCTGATTGACATCTGATTGGAGGTTTGCCACTATGTTGTCTACTCATAAAAATCCTAGTGTCATCTGCAAAGGATGATACAGTACTATAAGTTGTGTGATTAAGTTGTGTGCTGGTGATTAAGTGTATTTATGTACTATGCTGATTGTCAGGACTGTACTTATTACATTTAGTATTAAAACATACTGTCTATTCGGAGGATGGGCTGTATTTTAACCAAAAATATTGTAACAAAATATAGTGTTAAAAATCCAAACAGACATAACTAAACATTTCTCTAGCAACAGGAATAAATTATCATTGAATATTTTCAATTCATAGAGAATAAATATTTAAAACAAGACTTGGTACCAACTTCTAGTCAGTAAAGATTTCATTTGATCAACGAAATATATAATATGAGGGCCTGGTGGCTGAGTGGACATCGCTCGAGGTTTGAGTCCTAAGTAGTCACGACAAATCATCAATATGGGTTCAGGGAGGGTAAATCTTGCCTTACTGGCTTAATAGAATTCTACGACCAGGTGACAAAGATTAAGCAAGAAAGAAGGATGGGCAGACTGCATTTTCTTGGACTGTTGGAAAGCCTGACACAGTACCCCAAAAGAGGCTGGTACATAAGCTGAAGAGACAGGCAAGAGTAACTGGAAAGGTGCTCCAGTGGATAAGGGAGTACCTAAACAATAGGGAGCAGAATGTTACAGTGAGGGATGAGACCTCAGTTTGACGTGAAGTCACCAGTGGAGTCCTACAGGGCTCTGTACTCTGACCTATCCTGTTTCTGATGTACGTAAATGATCTCCCAGAGGGTATAGACTCATTCCTCTCAATGTTTGCTAATGATGCCAAAATTATGAGAAGGATTAAGACTGAGGAGGACTGCTTGAGGCTTCAAGAAGAACTGGAAAAACTGAAGGAATGGTCGAACAAATGGTGGTTAGAGTTTAACCCAAGCAAATGTAATGTAACGAAGATAGGTGTAGGGAGCAGGAGGCCAGATACAAGGTATCATTTGGGAGATGAAATAATTCAAGAGTCAGAGAGAGAGAGAAAGACAGACTTTGGGGTTGATATGATGCCAGACCTGTCCCCTGAAGCCCATATCAAGAGGATAACATCAGCGGCATATGCCAGGTTGGCCAACATAAGAATGGGCTTTGGAAACTTGTGTAAGGAATCATTCAAAACTTTGTATACCACATATGTCAGACCAATCCTGGGTATGCAGCCCAGCATAGAGTCCATATCTATTCAAGCATAAGATTAAACTGGAAAAGGTTCAAAAGTTTGCCACCAAACTAGTACCCGAACTTAGAGAGATGAGCTACAAGGAGAGACTACGGCACCTCATGTCGCTCGAAGACAGAAGAGTTACGGGGGATATGATCACCACATGGCAAGATTCTCAAAGGAATTGATAGGATAGATAAAGACAAGCTATTTAACACAAGGGGCACACACACTAGGGGACACAGGTGGAAATTGAGTGCCCAATGAGCCACAGAAAGAACTTCTTCAGTGTCAGTAGTTGACAAATGGAATGCATTAGGAAGTGATGTGGTGGAGGCAGACTCCATACACAGTTTCAAGTGTAGGTATGATAGAGCCCAATAGACTCAGGAACCTTTACATCAGTTGATTGACAGTTTGGAGGCAGGACCAAAGATCCAGAGCTCAAACCCCGCAAGCACAACTAGGTGAGTACAACTAGATGAGTAAGGGTCCGGGTTCGATCCCCAGCAGGATCGAAATAAAAATAAAATAAATGCCACCACAAAACAAATAATCATGTTATGAGGTTACAGTATTTTACTTAATTGACCAAAATACACAAATTACCCCATCTAAGAATCCTATGCAAACAGACATACTTTTTTACTGTATTTAATTTTCTCCACCCAGAATAAAATAGAAGATGAGATACATAGATGCACTGAGAGTGGGCCCCAGACGGGTTCCTATGCTGCTGGGCACCATCACTGGTGGTATAGAGCAGACCCCATATACCAGAAGATTATATCTCCCACCACAATCCACTCCTTGCTTGCCAGCTCCAGCATGTCATCTGCAAGTAAGGACTATCTTTTTGCCAACTTTTGACCTTCATATAAGAAATCAGTGTGCTTACATATCACTGACTTCGGGGGAGTGAGATCTAGCTCTTTATACCCCTGCTTTCTAGCTGTTTATACCTGATGTGCTAATTGCCTCTATCATTAATGTTTTCAGCATATTTCTTTTTAACCCTTTAACAGCACTAATTGTATATGCAGTATACAATTTTGATCTAACTACCTGCACGGTGCACATTGTATATACACTTTTATTGTGACAGTCTGGTGGTGCACAGAAATTGAAGCATTCCTGCCAATTATTTTTTCTTTGTAAATTGTTAAGAACCTTTCCCTGAACAAGTACATGTAAATTTTTTTTAAACAACTTGGCTGTGGCAACTTGGAGAAGATGCGATGTGATGTCAACCAATACGTGTTCGCTCATGCAGGAAGCTCCCAGTCTGACACACTCTTACACTATTTGCACAGTCATACAGTGTATTACGCACTCAATACTTCGGAAGTGAGTTATAAGCAAAGAAGCAGTCTATGGTACACAGCGTGAATTTGCACTCTATGCACCAGGTACACACAGATTTTCGCTTCCTGTTTCTTCATTGTGTGCGCTTGCAAACAATGCACTCGCATACACCTTTGGTCTTTAGTTTCTGTAGGTAGTATGTAGGCAAGCTTGTGAAGTGTAAGGTAGTCTTAAGATCAAGGAAAAGATCAATGACAAAATTCTGTCCTAGTACAAAGTAATTGCAAAATTGTCTGATATTGCTGAACACTTTTTGCACTTTCCAAAGTCGATAATTTCTATCAACATTTGCAATGTTTTCAAAGTGTAGGCACCTTAGAAACAACAGGAACCTGTCTCATGACATTGTTGAACACTGGGCTTGGAACAGTGCAAAATTTGCTGTAATACTCCTGTATTAAGTGTTTCACAGAATGTTTCATAAACAGACACATAGATTCAGATTCAGATTCAGATGTTTATTCAGGTAAGGTATATACATACAAGTGATGTTACATTAAAGGATTGATATATAGATAGAGCTAGTACATACAATGCCTAAAGCCACTATTACGCAATGCGTTTCGGGCAAGAAAAAACATTAATATCTAGAACTTAATACTAATTGAGCATAAAGAATAAAAGATGTTGAGAACAAATACAAATAAAGATAAAAAAAAAGGGGGAACATGACTGAAAAAGCAGCACAAATACAATAGGTTGACAAACAGTGTTGATTAAAAAAAAAGAAAAAAAAAAAGAAAATAACAGACATGGGTTGACAATAGAGGAGTGAGGTAGATTACAGGGAATTTATTAGGTAGTGTTTAGTTTTTATCTTAAACTGGTTGAGAGAGGTACAGTCTTTAACATGGTTGGGAAGGTCATTCCACATTCTGGGCCCTTGATTTGCAGAGCATTTCTAGTTTGATTAAGACGTACTCTAGGAATATCAAAACTGTATTTATTTCTGGTGTGGTGCTCATGGGTTCTGTTACAACCTTCTATGAAGCTTTTAAGATCAGGATTGGCATTATAGTTTAGCGTTTTAAATATGTATAATACACATGAGAGAATGTGCAGTGACTTAATATCTAACATATTAAGAGATTTGAGTAGGGGTACCGAGTGATGTCTGGGGCCAGAGTTGGATATTGTTCTAATAGCGGCTTTGTGCTGGGTAATTAGAGGACGTAAGTGATTTTGGGTAGTAGAACCCCAAGCACAAATACCATAGTTGAGATAAGGATAGATAAGGGAGTAATAGAGAGTCACCAGAGCAGGGCGTGGTACATAATATCTGATCTTAGAAAGAATGCCCACAGTTTTTGAAACTTTTTTTGATATATTTAGAATGTGTCCCTGGAAATTCAGCTTGTGGTCAATGAGAATGCCAAGGAATTTGCCATCTAATTTGTTACAAATTTGGGTATTGTTTATTTTGAGATTTATAAGACTAGAGGATTTATTGCCAAACAGAATATAGAAGGTTTTGTCAATGTTAAGGGTGAGTTTGTTGGCAGTTAGCCAAAGATGGACTTTATTTAGCTCAGTATTTACTGTGGCATTTAGAGCAAGAGGGTCAGGACTGGAGTAAATGAAGGTTGTGTCGTCAGCAAATAGAATTGGTTTGAGGTGTTGGGAGGCATTTGGAAGGTCATTAATGTAGATGAGAAAGAGGAGAGGGCCAAGTATGCTGCCCTGAGGAACACCAATGTTGATGGGTAGGGTGGGAGAAATTGCATTATTCACAGAAACATATTGGAGCCTGTCAGTAAGGTAGGACTCGAGGTATTGTAGGGAGTGTCCTCTGACTCCATAATGATGTAGTTAAGAAGAAGGTTTTGGTGGTTGACAGTATCAAAAGCTTTACGCAGGTCCACAAATAACCCAACAGGGAGCTCCTTTTTATCAAGAGCTGTATGAATCAAGTTAAGCATACTAATAAGTGCATCGTTAGTGCTTTTTTTGGGTCTGAAGCCATATTGGCAAGGGCTAAGTATATTGAGTTTGGCTAGATATGAGTAAAGCTGCTTGTATATAAGTTTTTCAAAAATTTTTGACAAGTTTGGCAGGATTGATATAGGTCTGTAGTTGTTAACATCTGTGGGGTCACCACATTTGTGGACAGGCGTTACTCTCGCTTTTTTTAGAATATCTGGAAAGGTTTGGAGTTCAAGTGACTTGTTGAAGAGCAAAGCAATAGCAGGGGCTAAAGATCTGGAGGCTTTTTTGTAAATTAAAGTTGGTATCTCCTCAAGGGCACCAGACTTGGTTTTAAGGGAAAGGATTATCTCATTGACGTCAGTGGAGTTAATAGGCTTTAGGTACAGAGACTGTGGATAGTTACCTGTAAGATAGTCCTTAATGTCAGTACTGGAAGATGGAATATCATTTGCAAGGGATGAACCAATGGAAGAGAAGAACCTATTGAACTCAATAGCAGAATCAGAGGCTGAAAGCTGACCATCGTTATTAGACAGGAGAGTCGGTTTGTTATTTAAAGATTAGATAGCTAAGAACACATACACTTTAGCCACAGTGGTGTCCTTCCATCATGTCATACGTGAAGCAGTAAAGAGAGCATGGGGAAATTGTGTGAAACCTCTGTTTGGCTTCAGTGGAAGCCTCAGCAATCCTTGAGGGTGCAGTAGTACTCCAGGTTGCAATTCTTTTAACCATGTCGTGGCATAGTCGACTAGAGCGTGCATTTGGGAACATCCAGGCATAGGTTCAAATCCTCATCACAACTGTGGATTTTCTCATTGATGTCACAATAATGTGATTTCTGTGTATTTGAAGTATGTCATAATTGCAATCAACCGGGGTAGGACCCAGAAAGGAGGCAAATCAAAACACTACTGTCTGGTAGTGTTTTGTTACCTCCCCCCTAGAAAGAAACAAACAAGCAGCTCTTCATTCAACTAGCACTCCCACTCCTTAGTGCTACCCCAAGGTGGATGGAAAGGGGGGGGCCCTTAGTGCTAGGAAGGGGGCCCTTCCTCTCCACTACGGGCTCACCATAGCCCGTGCTACTTGGAATTTTGTTATGAATATCTGAATGTAAAACCACCACCACCTTGCTCCTATCACAGTCGACTTGATAATGGCCCAGGATAGACCGAAATGTCATCGTCTCTTCTTCTGGTGTGTGGTTTGGTCATCATATCTTCAGCCACGAATTATTAGGGGGGAGCCAGCTCTCCCTCCCTGACTGTGAGGCCATCACGGTGGATGCTTTTTGGCAGGACTGGTCGTGGTGGGGGTTCCTTTACCTCTTTCTCCCCATTTAGCTGTTGCTTTGGGTTCTGGCTTGGCTGGAATCCTATTGGGGGAGAGTGGTTCTCCTGGCTCCATGATGGCCAGCTCAACTTTGGTTTCAGGTGCTGCTTGCTTGGGAGAACAAGGAGCCGCATGGAGGAGAGGATACATGGAGAGCCAAACTAGTGGAGGTGTCGACAAGAAACTTTCTAAGCCAACACGTCGGGGAACCCACTAGGATGAGGGAAAACGATGAACCAGCAAGACTCGACCTAGTCTTCACTCTGAATGACTCCGACATAAGGAAAATTTACTTCGAGGCCCCAGTAGGAATGAGCGATCACAATGTACTGACATTTGAGTATCTGGTCGAAGAAGGGCCAAAGCACTCGAGAAAGGGAACAAAGCAAAAAGCTAGCATTCCGTAAGGGAAATTACGTGGAGATAAGAAAATTCCTAATGGATATCACGCAGAAGTGCATGGAGGCAGCAGAAAAGTTTATCCCGGCCCAAAAGGTAAAAAATGAAATGCAGATGAGAAACCCATGGTTTAATCAGAGATGTAAACTAGCTAAGCAACAGAGTAAAAGAGCATGGAGAAACTATAGAAGTAACAGGAGACATGATCACTACCTACAAAATTCTCAGAGGAATTGACAGGGTAGATTAAGATAAACTGCTTAACACTGATGGTATGCGAACAAGGGTACAGAGGTGGAAACTGAGTACCCAAATGAGCCACAGGGACATTAGAAAGAACTTTTTCAGTGTCAGTAGTTAACAGATGGAATGCATTAGGCAGTGATGTGGTGGAGGCTGATGCCATACCGTTTCAAATGTAGATATAATAGAGCCCAGTAGGCTCAGGAATCTGTACATCAGTTGATTGACAGTTGAGAGGCGGGTCCAAAGAGACAGAGCTCAACCCCCGCAAGCACAATTAGTCGAGTACATGCTGGTGATGTATATGATGCTGACACTGTTGCAACACCCGGACCAACAGGTGTGAGGTGGTATTCTTCCCTTGAGTGAAGAGGAATTCCATGTCAGGAATTAATAATGACTTTAAACCATGAAGAAAAGCAGGTGGTGTTCACTTGACGATGAACTTTATCTTATGGTATTGGTAACATTGTTATTGGGGGTTATTAGGAGTTACCATTATTGGTAACCCCTAATATTTGTTCTTATATGCAAATATTCCTTTAGAGCATTCTATTGCGAACAATTTGATTT